GGTGACCACCAGTATCTGGGGGAATGTTTGTTTACCAGAGCGCCCCAAGGGATGACGAGGTCGAACGGCCATAAACTACTGCAAGACCGTTTCAGGCTGGACGTAAGGAAGAATTTCTTTACTGTCCGAGCCCCCAAGGTCTGGAACAGCCTGCCATCAGAGGTGGTTCAAGCACCTACATTGAACAGCTTCAAGAGCAAATCGGATGTTTATCTTGCTGGGATCCTGTGACCCCAGCTGACTTCCTGCAGCCGGGGCAGGGGGCTGGACTTGATGATCTTCCGAGGTCCCTTCCAGCCCTAATGTCTATGGAATCTATGAAATCCATGAAATCTAAGTTAAGCTTGCTTAAGTAACTCACAGAATCAGGGCCAAAGGCCTAGATACTAAAAAGACTTGATGGGCTTGATTTTACTGACAAAAGTAGTCCATTAATTTCAATGGGATTATACAGTCTCACTTAATTATGCCTGTGAATAAGTGCTTTGCTGAACTGGGACTTAAGCTGTTTGGCCTGGGAGAACTGAATTTAGTTTGTCCTACCATTTGCTTTGTGTCTCTTTTGTAAAAGGATCCTGTACAGCCCACACGAGTACAAAGTTAAATGCCATCCACATGAAGGCTCCATTATGCATACATTGGGCCAACCACTTTTTCTGTGACACTGTCCTAAATGCTTCAGCTGACAAAGTTATGTGGAACGGTAGTGAAAAATCATGCCAGAACATAGTTTGGACTGCTAAAAATAGTACTAAAACATGTAGGACACTGTCCATGCATACATAGTTTGTCTGCAAAACACTTGGACTGTTCTAAAACAATGACACTTGCCAAATTCTTACCTGATTTGTACTCCCGGAAGTGAATGCATCTGGGCTGCAGAAAGATACCATTGTTATCTTCCATTGGTGGTATATAAGCTGCAAAATTGTGCAGCTAGAGCTGCTTATTACCAGCACAACGATTTACTCCATCCATGCAGGCATTTGAGAGCTTTCCAGAGGAGCAGTTAGCAAAACAGTTAGCATCGTTCAGCCTCATCTTCCAGCCACTGTACACTCAGAGGTAAGGAAGAAACCACAGTCAGGTCTGCGGAGGGCTAAAAAGCAGCAGGGTGGGGAAAGGGCCAACAAGGTCCTAATTAGAAAAAAAAAATCTTCTTGAGAAAAAATAAGATGAGAAACAAGGAAACATCATTGATGCATCGGAGTAGCTAGACTAGAAAGCTGGAGAGCTCTTGGTAAAATATGTGGAAGGGTAAAATGCTTAATTCCAAGAAAAAGGCAGGAAATGTTAAAATAGTTAACATCTAAAAAATGTGCCATTGATCAGAAAACTACATGTATGCAACACCTCCAGTGCCTTAGAGAAAGAAGATGTAACCTCATGCCTAGAAGCAGCAGGCAATCAGGATGGAGGTTTAAGTCGCATTGTTTACTATTCATAGTCCCAGCTTTTTGACCTGTGAGCAAGGAAGCTGGAGGTGGGACAATAAGCACTAAGTGGCAGCTAGAACCGCCAGAGATAACAAGAAAAAGCCCCAAAAAAGATGAGTCTGTGGTAAGGTTTTCCAAAGCAAATGGGGCACCAGGGGATACTGTGCAGCCACCAAGCTGCACTGACGGTTGCCCCTAACTAAAGTCTGCAGTATAACTTGGCCATTTCCTTCTCCTCTTCTATCTAAAGATGTGCATGAAGAGGACTTAACCAAGAACTGGTGTGTCATGGAAGGGAACAGCATCTGCCATCTCAGGAGTCCCTCCTACATGCAAGACAAGCAGAGGGGTGGAAGGGCAGCAAGTAGAACTTGAATTGGTCACAGAGCCCAGGGCTGCTCTGAAAATTGACCCAAGTTTTCTGAAAACTGTGACTCTGGATCTGGGCTTCATTGTGCTCTCTTCCCAGGCCCATGCTACTTTTGCCACAGCTATGGCAGCAGAGTTGACTGATATGAGGTGCTTCTGTTTGCTCATAGCCGTTGTCTATGGCACTCACTGAGCAAGCAGAGTTTGGTATGGAAAGCAACTATATTTGAACTGGGGCTGGAGAAACATGCTCTGGATGTTCCTTCCAAGTCCTCATTCACTGCTACTGGGCTGCCCACATACTATGTGGAGATCTGGGGGAGAGGACGGTTTCCATTGCACAGCTCCATGCAGGGATGGGGAGCAAGAAGGGGAAAATGAGGTTGAATACACCCACCCCTGTGGCCTCTGGGCTTGTCAAGAACTAGTTCAGGCTCCTCCTAGCTTATTTACTGAAGCACCAAGAGACTCAGCCCAAAATCCTGTTAGATGCTGGAAAAAGAGAAAGATGGACCCCAAACATCTAAGTCAGGGCTGTCCAACTACTTGGCATGGCCATAAGCTGCACCTTGTGTAGGCCCCCCCAGGGCCCAAACCCCACTGCTGCCCAAGCAGCATCCCCCCGCCTCACCAACAGCATACCACCCCAGCAACAGCTCTCCTTCCCCTATTCCCTTCCTCCCTGCTGTTACAACACCTTTCGGCCTGGGGCTCTCATAGGCACAGACAGTTCTTCCCCTTGGAGGAGCAAACAGACACCTGCAACACCAGTGTAAAGGAAATACCTCTGCAGTTAGACTTGACCGATAAAAACCCCACAGTGCACTCATCCAAAGTTTGACAGGTAGCTGGCACAAAGCTTTTCTGATTGTCTCTAACTCAACTGAGCCCTGGCCCGAGTCCAGTTACATGTGTTTGTTTTCATTAATATTGCATAAATAGTTATGGCAGCCCTATCGTGAACATCTTTAGGCCTAAGTTTCCTGCCTAATGTAAATTATGTAACTTTAGTCCATTTTCATAACAATCCCCTGCAAAGATACTAAAGGGTTTACCAACATCCTGTTTCTGATAAACTATTCAAAAGAGAAAGGGGGAGAGAGAGAGAGAGAGAGAGAAGGAAGCTAACTCTCTCCAAAATTACTCTCAGAGAAGCGAGGTAATATTTTTTATAATTCCGTTTAAATCATGTCAATCTGAGGATATTAAACACACAAAATAAAGTCTTAGCTACTTCGGAAGGAATTACTCAAGAAAATCCAAAACACAATGATTACAAATATGTTGAGCAGGACATGATAGTCTGTGTGGTTTCAAAGTGAGGATTCAGCATTTACTGGAGAGGGAGAAAGGAATTTTACTCTGGGGTTTGAGACCTTGTTGTAATTCAGCATCGGGGTTTCCAGGCTTTTAACTTTCTGAAAGTTCATGAATGTGCCACCAGAGGGCACACGTGGAAGTAAATGAGGATTAGATGAAGCTCCCGAGTGGTTCTTAAAATGAAGAGGCAACAGTACAAAAATGAAAGTCAACTTACAGGAACTGTACTGAAAATTTGTGCCTAGACCAGTTCAGAATAGGCCTTTTTCCATATACTCAAAAATATTTCATCAGTCAAAGTTTACACTGCATGCCAAGCCAAATGAGGGCAAACAAGGCTACAGCTGTCCACCCTGTCACAATATGACTCACCTCCTATGTCTGGTGCTGTAATTTCCTTTTAACCATAGCCAGCTGCTATTATTTTGAACCAATAGGGGTGTGTGCAAGTGTTTGGGCCTCACGTTTGTTTTGCTCTTGGCACCCATGCACTATTCCCCTTTGCAGTAACAAAATCCAGAGGGAGCAAACTTAGTTCTAGATCTTCTAAGGCGCACTTATGTTACACAGGGCACAGGGCTGTATCCAAAAAGATGCAGTGGCAGGATCCAGTCTTTGCAGTCTGATGTGCCTGATAAAAGCCTGGGGCAGAACACTTCAGCCTCCCCGGACACTCCATCACTGACCTCAGGATTGCTGTTCTCAGGCAAAAAAAAAGAAAAACAATGAAAAACCAGTTTGAACAGGAACCCACAGAACAAGAAATCATGCACAAACTGGAGTGTGTTAAGTACGGTTTAAAAAGGGATTATGGATTCTTGTCTCGTTATCTGGATTAGTTACACCTTGGGGAATGATGCAATTATGCTCCTGCGCAATTTTGCACATAAAAGACATGACCGCATATAATTGCATAATTTAACTGCAGTGCGCTCTTTGCCTCCACCTCCATGATGTGATGGCACAGAGCCACGCAACTGGACAGCTGGGTAAGTGGAGAGAGGAGCTCCTGCCTGCAGGGGGGGGGAGGGTAGGCATAAGGTAGGTGTGGAGGTGTGTGTGTGGGTCGAAGGGTGTGGTGTTTGTGGGTGGGTATGGGCTGCGCGCCATCAAGTCAGGCCAGCCGGCTGCATGCCTCCACGTGGGGCTTCGAGCAGTCCAGTGGGAAGCTGCATATAGAGGCATGGAGTGTGTCCAGCCCAATGTCATGTGACCCCGTACCTCCATGTGCAGCTTCCTACTGGAGTGCTGGAAGCCCCACATGGAGGGCCAGCCCAATGGCACATGGACCCAGGAGCCGTGTGCCATCAGGCCAGGTGGGAAGCTGCGTATGGAGGCATGGAGTTGTACACCATCAGGCCAAGCAGGCTCCATGCCTCCACATGCGGCTTTCTGCTGAAGTACTGGAGGCCCCACATTGAGGCACGGATTCCACCTGGCCTGATGGTGTGCAGCTCCTGGTCCACATGCCATCAGACTGGGCCAGCCAGCTCTGTGCCTCCATGTGGGGCTTCCAGCACTCCAGCAGAAAGCTGCATGTGGCGGCACGGAGCCCACCTGGCCCGATGGTGGACGGTTCCTTCCTGCAGTACCACGAGCCTCACATGCTGGCATGGATCCAGTGTGGTCTGGTCCAAAGGAGCATGCCAGAGGGCCAGGCCAACTCTGTGCCAGCATACGCACACCCTGGGACTCAGTCAGAGGCATGTGCCACTAGGGGTTCTGCCTGGCACAGCCATGAGCACCCTGTTACCACTGAGCTGCCACCAGCAAGGGCTGTGCACCATGGGGGATATGTGTGGGGGGGCACACAGCTGCCTACAAACCCCACATACTCACACCCCTTTGCAACCCCCCCAAATCCCACACCAATCCACAAACCCCACATACTTCCATTCCCCCACAAACCCCACATGCACCCACAAATCCCATATACTCCCATACCTGCACCTCCCCACAAACCCCACATATACAGCCACAGCCCTTCACAACCCTCCCAGAAACCTCACATCCTCCCACAAACCCACCACGCATCCATAAACCCCACAAACATGCCCCACACGGCGTCACAAATTCCCCCACCCCCACCCCCAACCATACAAAGTACCTGCATATATTTCTAAAGAAGGTTCAAATAGTGTTATATTTAGTTTAATTAAAAAATAATAATAATAAAATTGCATCATTTTGAGTTTTTCTACATATAATTTTGAAGTTTTCTGCACATAATTCCCCAGGGTATAATTAATTTTTGTAACCCTTTTGTTCCTATGGGTTCTTTGTTTGTATGCCATTCATAGCATTCCTTCTCCTCCGTCCCCTCTCCTCCTCCCTTCTGCTTTCCTATCTATTGTATTCTAATCACTCATTCCACTTTAAACTCTGCTTTCTGCATGCTCTTTCACAGCATCTAATGAAATGAACTTTGGTTCATGAAAGCTTGCACTCTATAGTTACATATCTTATTTAGTTGTAGTAATAAGTAAGAAATTAAGACATATACACAAATACACAGGCAAGTCTTTGTTACAGCAGTATAAATTGGTAGTAACTTCCCTGGCAGAGTGACTCTGAAGTTATGCTTGAGTTCAGTTCAGGGTAGGATGGAGTCATGCCAGCATGGGATTAGATTCAGGCCCTGTATTTTAGTGAGTGCCACTCACTGGTTCGTATGGGCTGGCACAATTTTGATGTGGTCTAATTCCAATCTAACCGATAATAAAAAAAAAGTTTGCATTAGACTTTGCAACACACACAAGAACCCTGCCCTCTCTTAACAGGCACACAGGGGTCCCACACTCCTTTATCCTTTAGATCTTTTCTTTAGCCTTTAGATTTTGGTTTAAGATTGCTTTTCTGTGTTACTTAACCTGTGGCTCTATCTCCAAACAAGACTGCTTTTAAAAAAAGAAAACAGGTACCTCCTTACTAATGCAGTCTGCTCCCTTGTGTTTATTTAGACCAGTATCTGTTGGCCTTTGTGATAAATAATGGTTTACTGTTTTATCTGTTATAGCTCAGAAGAGCCAACACAGCTGGATTCTCTTCCTTCATAAGTACCACCAACAGAAATGTTTGCTAAATTCCAATCTGTTTAAGATAATGGGGCTAGGCAGCATGCACTCTAATTCTGGTGATGATGATACCTGAAGTGGAAGGAACCCAGCTTGATTCACAAATGCAAGAGCAGTTACCAAGCTGGAAGCTGAAAACAGAAACAAACATATTTTCACTTGTAAATTAAGCGCACTGCACGTTTGATAAAGAAATCACTCTTAGCCAAGAGCTATTAGAATTCATGATGAGCAATTTTATAGTCACTAAAAACACATTTTGAAGTAAAAAATGTGACTCCTGTTAATATCTAAACCTTCTCTCCCTGCTCTGACTAAAATGTTCACCTGTTTCAGTAAACATGACATTTTTGTGATGCAGAAAGAAGGGCACTTTAGGGACAACAAATATCCTCTTAAATATACCTTTAGCATAAAGTCTTTGGGTCAGATCCTGACTTGTCCAACTTCAGATCCTGACTTGGGTAAAATCCTGACTTGTGCCCAAAAGCTTGTAAAGAACAGTTTTTCCAACTACAATGTATTTAATTGGTCTAATAAAAGATACTACATTTACCCGCATTACCTTCTCTGCCATTAACTTTAAGGAAACTAAGCAGCTTTTGCCAGTTAAGTGAACTATCTGAGCTTTCTTATTTCAGCTCACAACATGGGGAATTCCACCGTCCTCTGTATCATCCAGTTTCTTCCGTGATCAGGTGCCAAGTCTTGCTATATTCAGACAGAAAACTCCCACAGAAAACAAAAGAGTTGTTGACTTATTTGGGCCTGAACACGAAAAGGGTGGGGCTCACAATGAGTCTGATACAAAGCCACGCTCGTTCCACTTTTTTAAAAATATGAAATTTGTATTGTTTAAGCAAAATGCTTTAGAATCTCATTGGCTCACATTGAAATCAGCCTTTCTTATTCAGGAAGTTACCACAGTCAGACACTATTATAAGCTGGCACTTGCAGTTGTTGTGCAAGAGAAGGGGTTCAATTCCCACTTGTCTCACATTTCTTTGCTACAGCAAGGGACGGGCATCTGGAAGGGCTATACTTAGTGTCCTGAGTTGAAGAGGGCTGGCAGTGACAGCACTGGAAGATGTGTTAGTGGCACCAATGTGGGCAAAGGGAGTTCCAACTTGATGCTCCTGAAACTAGTTATGTTGGCTGCAGTTTTATTTTAGCTAAGTGTGTGACTCCTGGTAAGGATATAGCTATCTAGCAAATGATGCCTTTCCTGGCATAGTTTATCTTAGCCCTCTTAACTCCACCACCAACAAACAAAAAACGGTTTCCTAGTACAACAGCATCGATACCAGGGGCTTTCACTGGCACAGTTTGTTGGTCACAAATCACACCCCTGATTGACACAACTACATTAGCACAAGTCTATAATACAGGCCTGGGCTACACAAGACAGTAGGCAATGACGATAAGGGGTCTTGGGCCCTCAGAGTCTTCTGAAATCAAAAGAAAGACTGATATTGTGTTGACGGGCTTTGGATCATCACTTCCATGACTGAAGGGAAAGTGTGGAGGATCCCTGCTACTCTAAGCAGCACAGGCAAGTGGTTATTGTCACTGAATATATCAGCTCTCTTTAGCTCTGTCATGGTTTAGGTGTAATGGAGGTTGTCACTAAGCTAAAAGGGATTTTATTGAATGTCTTCTGTTATGCCACATGTATAGTCACTTCATTTAATGCACTAGTAGAAGGTGATCAGGAAGCAGGAAAATAAAGTGGTGAATAAGTGGTGAATAAAAGAAATAGTTTAGACAAATGTGGAGTTTGACCCCACCCTTTGAAGCAAGGAAATTGCCACCAAAAACATTCAGACTTCAATCACTTGCCCAAGAACAATCTATATTAATTACTTACAGGGCACGTCTACACAAGATGCTAACTGTACAGTAGCCTAGTAACACTGCACAGTAGTGTGCCAGGGAAAAACCGTACTAATATACTACTGTCCAGTAGTATTAGGCTGCTGCGCAGTAAGCGTCACTAAAAACCCATGCACCAGCACTATTGCACAGTAGTTGAAGTTATTGCACATTGATTTAATACTTGGTTACCCAAAGTACTAAATTTAATGCACACTAACTACAGTGCATTAATGAACATGTAAATATGCCCACAGAGACCTAGAAAAACATAGGAATCTGGACTCTTACTTTCATGACTTGCTTTAACTACTCCTTGTGATGTTATTACATGTACTGCTTGTGTTTGAATAGATAGAAATGAACTGAGTTAGTTCAGTGTACTTTGGACACTAACAAGCCTGGTAACATGAATGTGGGTAGGCAAATATACTGCCTTCCTTCTGACCTGGGGTAACTCATGATTTTGGAGTTTCAGAGCTGCTCTAAAATTAGATCAGAATATGCAATGTGCATATGTGCATTTCTCTTAAAAAGTCATTTTAAAGGAGGGTCATTTTAATTCTCAGCTGGTGTTAATCAGCATAGCTTCACTGAAATCTTGGGGACTATGCTAAGGACCTGGCATGAACACTTTGGCATATATTAAGTTTCAGTTTCCTGAAGCTAAGTTTCATTTATATTTTCGCAATGATTCATGATAAGTAAATCATGGTTAGCAAACCCCATGGGAGGTGACACGTATTCTTTATAAGTTCTGATAAAAAAAAAAGATGTTTTATCCATTAACCCTGTTGGCAGTTGTAGTCAAATAACTTGCCAACAGAAATAACAAAAAATACTATGGATACAGAATTTCTGACAAGAATAAACTGGAGTTTTCTTTCCAGGGCAAATACAAATCCATATGTTTAGTCCCATAACAAAACTTTAAAAAAGTGAAAGGCTCTAACTATGCCTTGAAAGCATAATGTCTCCAAGAACACTGTAATGAAAGGTTAGAAATGTGGGGCATATTAGCCATGTCTCCATATGTGTTCTACTGCAGAGTGGACTAATTAACTGTGGAGTAAAACATCACCATCTACACATGCAACAGTATTAGGCCACAGTAAACTAATTTATGGGGACTATTTTAGGCTGGGGTAATTTACTGCAATTAAACATATGTGTAGACACTGACTGCAGGCATAAATTGCACCCAGTCAGCCCAGCCAGCCAGGCACCAGGCTCCTGCCTGCCGCCCAGCCACACAGCTCTGCACTTTCAGCACCCTTGTGCCCCAGCCAGCCCCTCTGTGGCTGGCTGCTGCCACCCAGAGCCCAGGGTTGAACCCCTATGCCCCCTGCCAGCCTGGGGCTGCTCCACCCCAGCTTAAATTGCTGCTGTCCCAGGCCCATATGTAGACGCTGCAGCTGGGAATAGTTTACTCTGGCTCAAACTGCTCCAGCGTTTACTGCTTCACATTAATTGCATATGTAGACACACCTATTGAGTGAAACCCTGCCCTTTTCTAATGATGTCCCCACCTACTTTAACTCTGCCTTACCATTTCTCTTCCCTCATTTACAATGTACAGAAAATGAGCTCTACAGCCCTTTGGTTCTCTAATTTGTTACAGGTATACCTATCCTAGTGTAAACATAAGCCTTTGTTCCTTCCATGAAAGTGCTGTGTTTTCATTCTGCAGATGCTGATTTTCTCTACATGGTTGCCAAATAGAAGTCATAGTCTCAGACATAAGATGCACAGCTTTTCTGAGAGGTCTTCAAAAGTTTTGGCCCATTGCAAGACTGGCATATGGAACAAGAGACTTCTTTGTGTGATTTGTTTCAACAGCAACTTCTATGATTCTGTACTGAGTACTCCTATGATGAAAAAAGCCATAAAGCACCATGGCTTTTACTGTAGCTACACTTAAGGCAATTGTTAGGATCACTGATAAAATGTAACTATTCGTTCTCAGGGAATAAGAGAGCAGTAGTTGTTTTCCTCAGAATCATGCTGCAGGTACAGACTCAAAGAAATCTGGCTGTGTTGTCTGAAAATACAATGCTTCCTGACTTTCCAGCTGACCTGAAGAGTTTTAAGTGGGAATGATCTTAGTCTGTTTAAATACAAGGACAATGACAGCACAGGAGGTGTGGGACTTCTGGTCCCAAGCTGTGGTTAAGCTATGAGAGACCTTGGAAAGAACACGCCTTGATGTGTGGTGAATGACCTAATGAGAAGGGAACAGGCATTGCTGACTGCTATGTAAGTTGATAAGAAATGTAAAATATAAAAATACACTAATGGGCAGAGGAGCTGATTAAAAAAAAGGGAGTGTTAGGAGTACAGAAATAAATTAATGAGGATAGGTGTTGAGATAAAAGCAGTAAAGATGCCACGTGCACAAAGGTACAAGTTAAAATGAGCATTTTGGCAAAAGGACAGGTAAACTGTGGTGTGAAACTTGGGTATTTCAAGAACACAGAGAACAACAGCAAGCAAGAGCTACCTAAATTCACACCTCCTGAGGACTGCAAGAGGAATGCCTCATGGGAGCACACCTACTGTTAATATGTGAAAACATATTAAGAGTAGTTGGGCTCTACTTTGCAAGGTATATCAGTCTCCTGGTGAACCTTAAATAAAAGGAGTCAGTTCAATTCTATTCAGATCTTGAATGTACTCAGTCAACCTTGCTGTTTGTGTGACCCACAAGTCAGCAGTAATTAACTCACATCCTATGAACTCTTAATCACTCAGGGCTGCAGCGTTCTATTTAGGTAGTTCTCTAAATCATAGTCCCCAACCAACAGTTTATCCAAAAACATTACACTATCAGGATACCCAAAAATATTTGGAACCTTCCCTTTACTACTGCATTTCAAGCCATGCCCAACGAGAAGATTTTCCAATAAAAGAACATCTCCCCATTCCCTCCTTATCTAATTGGGCATGCAATTTGCTGCTTCCAATTAATTCTCTTGAGAAAAATAACATCTGTCTCTGAAATGTAATAGCACTGTGTAACAGAGAGCCTGAGGCTCTCTGTTCCTTTAAGGGAAAAGTAGCCCAGCCAGGGAGCTCTGCAGGCTAGGGAGGAGACAGCATTTCCTGTTTTGGGGGGGCAACAGGCCTAAGGAGGCAATTACCAGGCAATTACCAGGAACCTGCAAGCGGCCTGCTGACCAGAAGTAGGCAGGGTCCTGGGGGCACATAAACTTGAGGCTTGGAATGGCAAGCCAGTCTAGCACTCCCAGCTGCACAGTAG